TTGTGGTGCTAGTATTTTGTTGTGGTTCTTCTGTGACTTAGCAGTTTTGTTAATATTCTGCCCATATGGAGGAGCCAGTCTGGTGAGCGCTGTGTGTGTGTGTGTGTGTGAGTGATTCATGATGTTAATTATATAGTTGTATATTTATCCCATGGCTTTCCCATGTGTTTAATCTTTGAGTAAAAAAGCTCAGAGTGGGAAGAGGGCAGCAAATGTGAGATGGCAACAAGATACTAAGATCCACTTTTCTGAAATTCATCACTAAGCTTGCTCAGGGATGTGGAACAGATCAATCACATGAGAAGTCACATTAATGCACAGAAACCAGGAAACTCACTATGCCCACTATCACCTCTCAAGTAGTAATTTATAGTTAAATGTTTAATTTTCTTTAATTAACATGTTTAATTTTGTACTAACTCACACATTCAGCATTTTTTTTTCCTCCACTGCTAAAAGGACAAGCATCATTAAACTAAAACTTTGAGTTGTGATTAATCAGAGGAATACATATAGCAAGCATTTGAAAAAAAAAAAAAAAAGTAAGCAGTTTTATAAAATCAAGATCAGAATTGCAGAAATTGCCAGTAATTAATGTGTTCCCTTAATCACTGTCTTTGCAAAGTGAATTGGAGTTGTTCTGTCACCAGCCATAGCAACTTGCTCTCAAGTGTTAATATGATTAATACCATAATTTTTCAGCAAAAAGTTCTTGCTGAAGAACATTATTTTTATATAAGCATAAGTCATCTGTGCCAACTAAAATATTATCAGCAAGGAGATATTCTCTAAATTATTTTATAGCTGCTCATGGTTTCTGTGGAAATGCAACGTGCAAAGTTCTGCACAGAAGTTTTTTCTTTACGCATGACTGATTTTCTCTTTGTGTGGAGCTATGTAATTATCAGTTCCTGCTTCTCCTTCACCATCTGCAGCTTTCTTCTCTCTCCTTTGGGTTTTGCAATCACTGTGGGAAATGACTTCGGCTAGGACTAACAGCAGTATCACTACATCTATCTTATGTGTATTTGTGTACTTCAGCAAATGGGTAGGGAAGTGTAGAACATTCCCTGGACATTATCCCAGACAAAATCAACCGCCACCATGCATTTCTTTAAGCATGCATCCCAATCTGATCTTCCCTGCCTCGAAAACTCTAAGATCTGCTTATGTAAGGCAAAATGCTGGTGGTTTGTATAATGGATACTGGGAAGCACTACAGTTCTTGCAACATTCTTTTTGCTTCTGTCTTTCCTTTGCTGCTGCTTCAGGCTACATCCCTTTCTCCTCCCTGCTCTCATTAATCTTAGATTGAGCCATAGGGATGCAGATACAGAGAGGCTGCATCCCAAATATTTTTTATGCTGTGGTGGCTTCTCCTGGAGGAGGAGATCCCACAGTACACTAAATAAAGTATTCTAAGAAAACATTCAATGTGAGAGATTCCACAGAAACAAAAAAATATATATATTTTCCATATTACCTTGACCAATAACTTAAAAATTCCTAGAAGATTTTTTGCGCTTCATTTGTGTGCAGGAAATATTAGTAACTCTGTTTGAATCCCAGTCAGGTACTGCATAAAATTTTTACATTTTGAAGTAATTCTTAGCCAACTCCCCTCGCCTAAGGGAGGGAACATATTAACAGTAATGTAATCACACATGAGTTATTAAAATACAGAGCAGTAATTAGAAACACATGGACCATACAGAACTTACGGATATTTACCTGGCATCAGTTTTGCACTACTGAAGCCAAAAAAGGGAGGAGTATTACTATTATCCCATCTGCTGATGTCAGGAGTCACCAGATTTTGCTGTCTTTCAGAACAGCTGTAGACATATTCATTCCCTGCCTCTCTCCACTCCCTATCCCCCAGTATTTCAAGGGAAAAACAAGATTTTGTTTCCTAGTTCCAATACTAGATAAGCAAAGAAATTAACATTTCTATTGACTTGTCAGAATTAAATATTACAACATTTGTGAAGCATAAATGATAATACAGAGGAAAAAAAAAATCTCCTGAAGGAAAGTTTTTTCAGCACTGAAATATAAAGTTAATTGCACTTGGGATCAGATTCTGATAGGATGTTCAGAAATGGACAAGTTTATTTTGTGCTTTGGGGTTATGAAAATACTTAGTCAAGTATTTCATTTACTTGGTACTCAGTGAGGCTGCCTGCAAGAGACAGCTACTTCTAGCAATGCTGTAACTTTTTTTTTTTTTTTTTTAACTTGTTTTGGAAAAACATAGATATTAAATCTTTGTTCTTTTGTTTTGTTTCTTCAAAGCATAAATTGTGGTATTTACTCTGTTGGACTCTTCTTTGCTTCTGAGTAGAAACAAATAGACAATGTTTCACTGAAAATATTCAGGTTAAAGATTCAAATGTTTATCAGTTTCCTGAGTCATATTTACATCCCTGAATTATCATTTACTTTTGTAGCACTGACACACCTGCAGAATGTGTTCAACATAATTTCTGCCCAATTCACAAGGAAATAAAGCATAAATACTAATCATTACATTTATTTAAAAATAAATGTTTTAGCAAAATTATGTCAGCAACAGTAAAAATGTCTTATTTTCTAGGAATCGTGGAATCTACACTAGTCTCCCACGTACTTGCCCAGATTCTAGAATTTTGTTCATTTCAATCAGTGTACAAATGAAAACTTTGCTGTTAAATGCTGCATGTTGGAAAGCTGTCACTGTTTTAAAATGAAAGGAGCAAATGCAATATTGTACCAGTAAAATACCTTCCACTAACGGAGGAGAGAGGTCTAAATGTAGGATAGCTTGCTGTGAGTATCAAATATATCCACCTATATACTGATGTATACAATTTATGCCAACCGTAAATCTGTCAGGCTGTGGCTGTGGTGGTAGTTGGAAGCTGTGTTAAAATTCTAGGAGGTAGCTCAGAGTTCAGTCCTAAAAGTTGCAAAGCCGGTCAGAGTTTTAATGAGCTGAAATAGTCTTGAGTCAAGTTGTAAGCCATATGAGTAAACAACACATTCCTCCATTTTGCTTTCCCTTTGTTTTGAGGTTGAGAAAACACTCCTGATTCCCTGGGGCAGCAGTCTGGAGCATGGGAGTGTCAATGCTCTGTGCTATACGGCTGTTTGTGCCTGTCTGTGAGCACTGACCCCTCTGGCTGCCTTAATAATGGCACTTACTGGCTCTTCCACACAAAGGAAGCATACTGCTCCTATCAGGCCCGAATTGCCAAGAGCAAAGAGGAACAACGCTGACATGCAATTTCACAAGTAAAATGTCTGACATTAGCCAGAGCACGGTAATACATGCGCTTCTGTTCTTATTTTGTGTTTCAGCATAACCAGAACAAGATGAATTCAATCACACCTACAGCAGGAAGAGATTTCAGATGAAAAAAAAAAAAAAAACCAAACCAAAAAAAAAAAAAAAAAACAGAGAATTTTAGATGTGTTTAAATATGTCCTTTTAATTTGAGAGACAAAATGAAAAACATCCTGTAGTTCCTTCAGCAAAAACAATATGCTTTACTTCAAGTGCCATAGCTGCAAAACAAAGGGAGGGAGTGAGGGTGGACGAGTAGTAACACATGTCTTTATGAAATGAAAACTGGGTGACTGCAGACCTGGAAGTAGATGTAACCAAAGTCAGCATTAACACCTGCAGAGAGCTCAATCTGAACACAAGTATCCCAAATTCTGTTTGACTCGTACTGCCTGTGAACACAGACCCTTTCACCCTAGTGCCAGCTGCAGTGTAAACCTACCGTGGGCTATAATCCCCGTTCGCCGACAATTTTATGCCACAGCAGGTGCTACAGAGATGGAATACCATTTTCTTTTTTTTTCTCCCAGCTGCTGTTACTCTTTGTAGCCTGATCTGCTATCTTCCAGCAGGCTGGAAAAGAGCAGATTGTAATAACAGGCCGAGGAAGAAGGAACACAGTCTGCGACTCTGTGTTAACAAAGGCATGGCATGGGCAGGGCAGGGCGCCCCGACGCCAACAATTTACCTCCAGTCACAAGCCCCTGTGGCTGGAGCGTAACTGTTTCCTTGAGGAGATATCACTTCACAGTTACAATCCGCAGGAATTATTTTGCTAAGACAACTGAACTGAGGATAAATGTCTAGGAACAAGCATTTGAGCCAGGCCGACCTCACATCTTTGATGGGAAATTGTTGTCTTTCCAGATCCAGACATAGCTTATTCTAAGGAACTCCCTTCAACAGCTGTGGGGAACCTCGGAAAGAGAAGTGCTTGGCATTTTCCTGCAGACAGGCCCTTTCTTCTGTGATTTATGTCAGAAGGACACTCAGGGCTTTGAACCAATCAATCATTTTAGCTGTGTTTCTCTTTCCAGTTTTTATTCTCTAATGTCCCACAGGTGATACCCAGAGGACAAAGTGTAAAGTGACAGAGATACAGCCTGCTTAACCCTTTACAAACAGGTGCTGCTGATTTTTAAGCCACAAATCAGATTTCCAGGTCAAACCCACAGCGAGGAATCTGTCTGTTTGATCTATTATACTACATTATGGTATCATAGCGTGAAGAATGTGGCCTTTTCCTAAGGAGTGCAGGGTCAACTGGTGATTACGGACACAGCATCCCCCTCACAGCAAACCTTCAATAGCCAAATTCCAGCTACTGAACATCCAAATGCTAATGCTAACGCCTAGACTGAGCTGAACCCAATTCACGCGGTTTGAGTACTACAATATGAGGAGACAGCTAAAACTGGTGTCGGCTTAGAGCGTTGTTTTCAAATTGCAGCTCGCAGCTCCCACGCTATCGGGAAAAGCAAACAGGCGGGGAGCGGAGCAGCACAGGGATTCCGTCCCTCAGCGCCACAACAAAGGATGGCGCGATGCAGGGCGTTCCGGACCCTAGCGCAGCGGGAGGGGCGGGACCTCACTGGCGCGCGGGCTCGTCTATATGTCGGCGGCGGCGGGATTCGAATCGCGCCTCCGCCTACAAAGCTCGAGGCGCGCGGCCGTTCTCAGCGCGTTATTGGCTGAGAGTTGGCCGCGTGACCCGATGTCCCAGGATGGGGGGGGAGCAGAGAAGCAGAGCCGGCCATATTGCAGGGGGCCCTCGAGGGTGCAGTGTCGCTCGCGGCTGCCGCTGTACGTTAAGAACCTCCCGGCTTCCGCACGCGGCTGCCCGTTCTCCGTCTCCTGCCGCTCGGCGCTCTTCTTCCGCCCGGCCCTCTCGCGTCCTCAGCTCAACGCCCCGTACTCCATGGCGGCAGCCGCCGCACCGCTGTCGCCGCAGCCCCGGGGCGCTGTGGGCAGCGCGGTACTGAGCCCCACGCGCATCTCGAGGCTGCAGGAGAAGGAGGAACTGCGGCAGCTGAACGACCGGCTGGCCGTCTACATCGACAAGGTGCGCAGCCTGGAGACGGAGAACAGCGCGCTGCAGCGGCGCGTCTCCGAGCGGGAGCAGGTGTGCGGCCGCGAGATCAGCGGCTTGAAGGAGCTTTTCGAGACGGAGCTGGCCGACGCCCGCAAGACGCTGGACGACACGGCGCGGGAGCGGGCCAAGCTGCAGATCGAGCTGGGCAAGTTGCGCGCCGAGCACGAGCAGGTCCTCAGCAGGTGAGCGGGCTGGAGGACGCCGGATCCTCCTTTCCTGCAGAGGGAGGAGGGCGCGGGCAAAGCGCGGAGCACCCCCCGCTTCTACTCCCACCCACCCCCCGCGGCCCCGCTGTTGTGTGCCGGCGGCCGCCGGGCACGGAATGAATGAGCGCCGGAGGCTCCGCCTCGCCGCGGCCGCAGCGCCGCCCCGTACGGAGCCCGCGGCCGTACGTAGAGCCCAGTGCGGGGCCCCCTGGGCAGGGCGGGGGGTTGCCGTTCCGCCCCCCGCGCCCCGTGCGGGCTCGGGGACAGCGCGGTGGTGCTGAGCGTCGGTGTGGGCGTTCCTCTGCCTAAAGCCGCTTTCCGTTGGGTGTTAACGGAAAGGCACGATTGTGTGATAAGCAGGGCTTGTTTAAAGCCCCGAATAAATAATTTCTGTGAGTTTTAATGGAGCTGAGCTTTAATGGATGTTCAGGTGAAGGCCGGCTCTGTCACTAGGTAGTAGGAAGAAACCGCGGTGAGGCACGGGCTGCCCAGGGAGGTGGTGGAGGTGATGGAATCACCGTCCCTGGAGGTGTTCAGGAAATGTGTAGCAATGGCACTGAGGGACTTGGGCAGTGTTAGGGGTGGGGATGGGCTGACGGTTGGACTCTGTGATCTTAGAGGTCTTTTCCAGCCTTAGGGATCCTGTGATAATCTCAGAGTTGCAAGTTTTGTGGCGCAACCCAAAGATCTGCACAAAGAACTGATTTCTTCCACTAAGTGTTGGTTCTTGAAAATCAGACTTGATTCAGTTGCTTATCTTGCTCTGATTACACTGATGTAAAAAGCTTGGGAAAAAGAATCTTGTGTAGTCTGTTAGTTTTGATTTTCTCTTAAATCTGGTCTCAGTTTTGAGTTTCATAATGAAAAAGACACTCATGCAAACCAACACACAGCTGTTTCCACATGTCTGCAGGCAGCTCAGTGCCTTTGGGGCTCTTTGCTTTTGCATAACATGTGGTTCTGATCATTGCATGGTCCTTCTGGTTACTCTTTGGGGACCATTGGTACACTTCCTTAAAAAAAAAAAGTGGCAGGGCACTGGAACTTGATCCTTGGGGTCAATCCAAGCCATTCTACGATTCCTGTTATTGTGGGTGATGTTGAGAAGTTAAGTAAAGGCTGGGAGCTAGGGAACAGCTGAGCTTTAATTTGAACCCTGTCACTGTTCTAATGTCTACCCTAAAAATGTCATCTCAAGAAAATAAAGAGTAATTAACTTGCACTGTAATTAAAAAAAAAAAAAAAAACACAGATGGAAAGGGGAGGTGCACTGTAGCTACAGATGGGCACCCAAGTAGAAGATCAGGCAGGGGTTGCCATCCCTTTTGTAACTTCATGGGAAGGATGGGCACTTCTCAGAAGATGATGGCTGTTACATGTGGGCTTGGGGTGCAAACAATCCACATTTAAAAAAAAAAAAAAAAGCATTTTGGCTTTACAGAATACTTCTGGATGCTGAAGTGGGATTCACCTCATCCAAGGAGCACAGATGGTTGGCTGTTCAGTTGTCTGATGCTGGACGAAGGGAGTCACAGTCCAGCTAGCCATTCTCTGCTATTTTGTTTTTTTGTGGAAACCCAGTTGTTTTCATAATTGTGCTTTCTTTAGTTGTTAGAATGTTCTTCTGGTGTGCTTCATTCTTTTTTTTTCTTTTTAAATTCCAAGAATCTTTCTGTTTCTTGACTTTCTGCCCAATGAGTGCACAAAACTAAAGCTACAGGTTACTTTTCAATTTCTGAAGTGGTTTACTTACACTATAAAAGTGTATGAGCTGCTCTGAAAGTAATGCCTTCTGTCATTTTCCGTGAAAACTAAAACTGCTACAGAGAGCATAATAACACTATTAAATAGCTAATTTAGGAAACTCCTCCGGAGGTTTCACTGGTGGCTTTCCAGTACTGAAGTACACTCTCCTGTAAAAGCAGACAATGTGTTAGAGGTAAATTTTCACTGAAAGAAATTGTGATTTATCAAAGATACTGGTAGAGGATTTAATGGTCATTGATTATCAGCTGTTGTAGGGTACAGTCACTTATGAGGAGGTAATTTTGTAAGACAGCTAGCTCTGTGCATTTTTAATATTAAAGAGCTAAATTCTCTAATTATTTGGCTTTGCTTTCAGTTGGTCTACTTTCTCCATCCTTACAGAGAAGTGGATTTCTGAGGTGAGATTAAGCAGTAATAGCCTAACCAATACTGGTAGCTAGGATTACACCTGTTATTGCCTTGTAGGCTTGAATTGCGCTGCAAGTGTGCAGCTGATACCCTGAGCAACTGTTCAGAAGAACCCTATGTTGTTCCTGCCAGCCAAGTTTTAACAGCTGTTCCAGTGTTTCCTGTGGTGCACATATATCCTTAGCTCATTACCACACAGCACAGTCTTGGGCAGCTAATGTAACACTTTTCAAGGTGTGTTTCAGGACAGCAGTGGGATTGTTTTAAACAAAAGGAGGCATGATTTAGATCAGATGTCAAGGGGAAGTTTTTCACTGGAAGGATGGTGTGGAACTGGCACAAGCTGCCCAGAGAAGCTGTGGATACCCTGTTCCTGCAGGTGTTCAAGGCCAGGTTGGGTGAGGCCCTGGGCAGGCTGACCTTGTTCTTCATCTTGCAGCTGGCAGCCCTGCCTGTGGCAGGGGCACTGGAACTTGATCCTTGGGGTGCTTTCCAATCCAAGCCATTCTACGATTCCTGTTATTGTGGGTGATGTTGAGAAGTGAAATAAAGGCTGGGGGCTAGGGAACAGCTGAGCTTTAATCTGAACCCTGTCACTGTTCTCATGTCTACCATAACGATGTCATCCCAAGAAAATAAGGAGAGGAGTAATTAACTTGTTGCGCTGTAATTTAAACAAGTGAAATGTAAGAATGAATGAATGATCTAGGAGCATGTCTTCCATGTGGGTAGGATGTAACCACATCCTACAAGTATGTGTCTACTTGCAGTGATGAAGCAGTAAATTTGGGAATTAAACCGTAGTGACGAATTCCAGCTAGTTATGGAGTGTGAAATCTATTGCTGCCAAATATAGTGAAGTTATGAGAATGTTATTTTATCAGATACCTGCTGTATGTTTCCACCCTGGTATAGGCAACTCTACAGAGCTTATTCTTCATCTCTTTTGAAGTTCTGATGCCTGTTTTTGTGGGTTTTTTTTTTACTTTCCATGGGGTTTATTAAATAAACTCATTAAGTGTGTTCTGCGGAAGTTTTGTGAGTACTACTACAGACACTGAATAAACAGGCTGTTTGTAATCTGGCGTTTTTACTGAAAGTTCAATATGTGGTAGCATTTTGGAGCTGTACTCTCATCATTTTGAAGTTCTGTGAACTCTTTACTCCTGCTTTAAGATATGCTTGATCAAGATTATGATGTGTATAAATACATCTGGTAAAGGAATCAGTGCATCTGTGATATCACCACTCATGGACTGAATCAACTGATCACAGGTGTCTGCATCTCAAGTTATCTAATAATTAGGTATGGAAACACATCAGACTTCACTGAACCATAAGTGCTTATACTTGAATCTTCTTTTTGAACCTGTAAAAATAATGAATTTTGAGCAATGGTTTGATGTACATAGTTCTTGTGCAGAGGATCTGCTAAAACTGATGCCTACAGTTCTTGAATTCACATGGTCAACTGAGCTCTTCAGAAAGGGTTGAGTGATGGGGGTGGTCATATGTCTAGCCATGATTTCAAACAGTCACCACTTCCAACTGTTTAAAGCTGATGAAATAAGAAGTTGGAACCAAGTTCATATATTAATTTACATAAATGGTGAGTGAGCTTAACCAGTGGCATTTATTGTCATGTTGATATGTATACAGAATCACTAATACCTTCAGACAGTTACCCCTTCTGTTCTTGTAAATTGTATTCTTTCGAGATACAGCTTTACTGTATTCTATGTCTTAGGGGAAGAAACATGGGAAAGCAGTGCTTGATGTCATGTTTAACTAGCATGGCTAGATTTGTTTCTGCACATGCACACACACCTCCCCATCTTGAGTGGAGAGCAGCACAATGTGTGCTACCATGTAACCTTATATAGACATAGCTGTGAGCTGCTTTATCATTAATTACACTTGCGTAGTTGTTTCTGGAATTGTCTGAAAAATGAATGTTCCTTGAAATTACTGCTGGCAGCACTTACCTCTAATGTGGCTGCCCAAATACTGTCATGAATGAACTGTCAGGGTGCACGTTGGAAGACAAAGAAGGGGTCTTCCCAAGGTTGCTGGCATTTTACACTTGGTCAGCTTCAGTGGAACTTTCATCATGCCCAGGCTCAGCTTGAAGTCTATCTGCTGCCTGAAAGGAGTAGTCTGACTGCTTCTCCTGCTCTACGTGCATGGTTTTTCGGACCCTGGGGGTATAAATTGGTATAAAATTATTTTTGCTTTCTGTGTAGCTTTTCAGCTAGCTTAGTAAGAAATTCAAGGAAATTGCAGGAAATTCTAGGATGTTTCATGAACTTCAGGGTTTGTGAAAGAGGAAGGGTGGTTGCAAGAGCACGAAAAGGGAGCCTTCCTCTTTCCCTGAGATTCAGTGGCAGTGTCTGTTTCTCTGATCTGCACACTTACATTCTCTAGGTAATTCACCAGAGCAGTGATAGCACCAGTGGCATTCTGGGAGCTTTCTGTTAGTTTTAAATGAGCTGTCACAGGTAACCAGACACAACCATGGTACCTTAGAATTGTGTGCTTGTTCATTCTGCTTTACAAGGTGTACAGTGGCAGTGGTGAGCAAACTGAGCTGTCTGAAACGATGTACAACATGGAAGTGTGAATAAAGCAAAGGTGAGGCGTTAAATTCTTCCATGGGGGAAAAAAATGGCATCCACTGACATTTATTGACTCTTGCTGAATGTTTTTGGAAACCAAATTAGTTGTGAGCACAATGAGGTGGGTGATGCATTTCAGCAGCAGCAGCTGCACCACTGGGTCACCTCCGCTGATGCAGATTGTTATGTGTGGCAAAGCAGGCTCTTGTTCATGACTAGCTAATAGTGGTTACTATGTTGAAGAAGAGAGGGTGCAGTGAGAATTTGTTCTATCATAAAGTGATATTGGGATCTTTGCATGTGTTGTAGTTTCCAAGGAAATAAATAGGAGGCATTACTTTCTGAAGGGCATTTTGTGCAAGGCTTTATCTAAAGTATTATTGGCTGCAACTTCTGTTAGAGCAGTGAGGTAATACCAGTTGAAAGTCTCTCTGCAGTGTGTTTATGAGTGAAATGATGCGGGTTACATTTCTGAAGCACAAGTTCTCCCTGAAGTACAGAGAAAATAAAGAGCGACAGGCTTGATTTTGGTCTGATCTTAGTTTTGCATTATTTCAAAATAAATTGTAATTCCTTGGATGAATAGATACATGCACTTCAAAGTCCAAAGAGAAAAACAAGTTTCTTCTTTGAAGAGGCAGGGTAGCAATTAATTCTTTGCTTTTATTGCTTTCATGAGTGAAACTACTTGGAGCACAGTTCTAGCTAATTGCTGAACATGGCAGCAAGAAGGTACTTGGGGTTTGGGCTTTTTTATTGTTGTTTTGAAATGCAGCTTCAGCTTTTTGTGGTGGAAGAAGCTAGCTGTTGTTGGGACTCTGAAATTCTTCCTGACAGAAATTACTAGGTGTGTGAGATATACATGTGATGCTGAGAGGTTTTTCTGATCTTGTTGCCCTTTTCCATATTCCTTTAGGGCTGGGAAGGCACTGATGGGGTGCTGAGATTTAGTCTGGCTTTCAGCATTAGAAGTATTGAGCTCTCATTTGTTTTCTTCCTGAGAGTATGTTCATATGAGCTCTTTGATTAAGACAACTTAAAACATTAATAACTAATAACACTTCAGTTCTACCTTTTTCCCTTTTGTGACCTCAGTCACAGAGAGAATCTTCTCCTTTTAGAGTCCAGGATAATTCAGATGGGATTGCACTCTTGTATACATGCCCTGCTTTGAGTACCAGACTTGGAGTTTTAGGATCCAACTTTACAGGCTTGATTTCAGTCTGAAGCTTTGTGAGAGCCTGAGTGAGGCCATTTCTGCATGTATTTTGTACAGTGTTATCCAGTGATGCTCAGACGGTGAAGGCTTGATATGGGCCCTCATCAGTCTCAGAAGATGGAGAGGTTGTGTTCATACCACCATGGAACACTTCTCCCTTTTTTCCCTTTTTTTTATTTTGCCTCCAGTGCCATACAGGTGTTCTAACAGGCCTGAGTAGGAGAGGAAGGACAGAGTAGTGGGCCTTTGGGTGAATCTGCATCCAAGTGTGGAGCCCCCAGTACAAAAAAGACAGGGAGCTGTTGGAGAGGGTCCAGAGGAGGGCAGCGAAGATCAGGGGACTGGAGCACCTCCCTTATGAGGACAGGCTGAGGGAGCTGGGCTTGTTCAGCCTGGAGAAAAGAAGGCTGTGGGGTGAACTCATTGCAGCATTTCAGTACCTAAAGGGGGCCTACAGAGGGGAGGGGAATCAACTCTTTGAAAGGGTAGATAATAGCAGGATGAGGGGAAATGGTTTTAAGTTGAGGGAGGGAAGATTTAGGTTGGACGTCAGGGGGAAATTCTTTACGGAGAGAGTGGTGGGGTGCTGGAACAGGCTGCCCAGAGAGGTTGTGGATGCCCCATCCCTGGAGGTGTTCAAGGCCAGGTTGGATGGGGCCCTGGCAGCCTGGTCTAGCATTAGGTGGGATGGTTGGTGGCCCTGCATGTGGCAGGGGGATTGGAGATTCATGATCCTCGAGATCCCTTCCAACCCTGGCCATTCTGTGATTCTGTGAATAACAAAGGGAGCTTGGAAGTAGGGAACCTATGAGGCCAAAACCTAAATTACTTTCTTTGACTGATTGATGAACCCAACTATTGGGACTAAGCAGTCATATGTAAAACACCATTGAGCATAGCACTGAGAAGCAGAAATGTTAATAAATGCTTGAAAACAGGGTTGAGTTCAGATGTCTTTTGTGCTGTGTACTACATCAGTGTGTGTTGTGTCATTCAGAGGAGATGGGTTTGGCTTAAGGCTAAGTCTGTTACATAAAGCCCGCCATCTGGTGGCTGTATGGCCTAAATCGCCTCCAAAATGATTCATAAAACTTCTTGGTAAGCCTTCTGCATACCCTTTTCTCTTGGAAATTGTTATTAATTGCATGTACTTGCATGTAATCTTGGAAAAGCCACTTACATTTAAGCTTCTCCTCTTCAAAATTGTGTTGATCTGATGCTAGTCTCATTTTTCTGAGAAGCTTTGCTGTTGATGCTTGTAAGTACAGTGCTTGGATTTGAAAAGTACTCGCTATATTCATTCTCTGGCCCTTAGGATCTAGCTCTTAAGAGTCTTTACTGGTTTCTAGCTTCCTCTTTTTAGTGCTGTGAATTCTAATTTTTTTTCCCCAAAGAAACATGGAAACTGAAATCTGCTACCTGTTGTCCTAAATCCATTTATTCCTGTAGTGTGGCTTGTGGCTTGACTATAAGTTTAGAATTTCTGTGTGCTGCTTCCTTCACCTGAGAAGCATGGATATCCCAGAGAGGAAATATTTCAACTTTTAGAATTATTTTACTTTTCTCATTTGGTTGCTTTGTTTGCATATGCCTTAGAGAATAATCCCATTTGGGCACCTACATAGACCTGACAACTAGTTTGAATAATAATTTGAAAACAATGTTGGCCTCTTTAAAAATAAAGGCACTTCTACCTCATCACCAGTGCAGTTTTGTTGATGGCAGACCTTTATGTAAAAAATACTTGCGTATCTTTCCTCTGACCTGTGGAATTTAGCCATTATGTGTGATTAGAAGGGTGTTGCAAGATAACTTGCTGTACTACAGCTTCTGTTCATGGAGTGTTGTCTTATACATATGAACTTCAATTTTCATTAGGAAGCTGGTTTGTTAGTTGAAAGAGGACTGTTTGCAGGCTGGACTGTAGATCTGCACAAGTTCCTGCATGGGTAAAAAGGGCTGCAGAGATTTGTTTCCACCATATGGAAAGGGCCTATCGGTGGGAAAAACTTATTTCTACCTATTAAAACTCTGGGGATAGGACATTTCTAGAGTGGCCATGTGAAGGAGAAAATGAAAGGCAACTTTAATAAACCAGTTTCCGCTTTTCATGTATACAGCACTTATAAAATCCTTTGACACACAATTTCCTCTATAATAAAATTACTACAGTTCAAGTGAAGTACTAAGTAATTGTAGTATAAGAGAACAGAGCTAAGTAGTTTGTTTAAACAAAAGCAAATTAAATGAATAAAGTGTTTAGATTGCACCTTGTTTTGCTTGTCTACTTTGGGGCATTTCTGTACTTCCTTACTGCTTTGTTTTATTCCAGCTACGCAAAAAAGGATTCTGATCTTAATGCAGCTCAAGTCAAACTTCGAGAGTTTGAAGCAGCACTAAATGCTAAGGAAGCTGCGCTGGCCACAGCTCTTGGTGATAAGAGAAGTCAGGAAGAAGAACTGGAGGATTTAAGAGATCAAATTGTGCAGGTGAGGAGAAGAAATAATTAACTAAGGAACTGCATGTCATTGTGGTAAAATGCAACTTTGTAGCCAAAACATGAAGGCAAATCTAGAACTTAAGGTTTGCTGTCAGAATTTAACAAAAGTGTTGAATAGGTGTATGTTCGGTGTAGTTCAGCTTATTAGTAGCATGCATGGTAGAGTGCTTTTAAAATTCCTGGCTTGGCAGAGTATAAAGGATTATGCTTCTGTAGACAAACATGTCAGGAGTTCAAAATAGACTTAAAAAACTGGAGAACTACTTCTTGGGGGTGACTGAGGTCACTAATATAGATGAGTAACTGGTTCAGTACTTCAGTTCTTCAGGAAAGAATCTGAAAAGTGCAATGGACCTTGGACTTACTGTAGAGAGTGGAGCTGTAGCCTTCACTTTCAGGATTGCTATAGTCAGTTGTTTGTGCCAGTCCAAACCAACCAAAAATTGATAGCTTTAAATTGCAGCAAAGAAGATTCCTTAAGAAGACTGGAATAATTATTTAGTAAAAAAAAAAAAGTTGATGAAGCAATGAGAGATGGCTGGAGGAAAGAAGCTGTAGTTGTATTTCATAGTGGGTAATGAAAAATGTACTGAGAACATATATTTAATTCTTCCTGAAGATGCTTCCTGAAAGCAGTTGAGTCGGAATGCTGGAACTTGAAAGTATTTCCTACTTTTAAGTTTGTGGTTCTCTTCATTCCCTATAGTTCTATTTGTGGCACTCTGTCTTCAGGACATCTGATAGCAAGTTAAAAGATTTTACACTTTTGTTGAGCTTTTGAAGTATCTTATCTATGATTTTAAGCAAAAAGAAAACCAAAACCAACAAAAAAATGCCTTGCATGAGTCTAGGAGGCATCTGAAACCAGGAAGCAGTTCTTTGTCAAGTTGAAAAAATGAAGGCTTGTTAGGACACTTAGTAACTATCATTAGCATGAATCTTATCAGTGTGCAGAATCTATAATTCACTTGTGCAAGCAATCACAAAGGAGAAAAAAATCATTGCTTTTAAATACTAGACTTGATTGTCAACCTCAACCTTAATATCTATTTAATGTATCAGTAAGCAGATGAGTTATTTGTGTTATGTGTCTTTTGCTACATAATCATGTTGAGCTTTTGTGTTTTTTTCCTAAAGCTTGAGGTTTCTTTAGCTGCGGCCAAGAAAGAGCTTGCAGATGAAACTTTACAGAAGGTGGATCTTGAAAATCGTTGTCAGAGCCTCATTGAGGATTTGGAATTCCGTAAGAATATGTATGAGGAGGTAAATTTTCTTAGTGTAAAATATTTGTATTTTTAAAGAACAGAGGATAACTGAAGGGTCATTCAGTTTTTTGAACGCCCGTTCCAAGCAGAATTTACTTCTCTGTATCTGAAAGGTTTTCATCTTTTTATTACAGGCAAATAACATGAACTCAGAGCTCTTATAAATGGTGAAATAGCTTTGTGTGTCATGTCACCTCACTGCAACCTCCTTTTGGGTCATTTTAGAGAGTGATAAGATCTCCCCTAAACCTCCTCTTCTCCACATTAAACAGTCTTCGTTTCTTCAACTGCTACTCATAAGACTTGTGCTCTAGACCCTTCACTACCAGCTTCATTGTCCTTCCCTGGATGCACTCCATAGCCTTTATCTTGTAGTGAGAAGCTCGGCACTGAACATAGAACTTGAAATGTGGCCTCACCGGTGTTAAGAACAGGGGGATAACCACCTCCCTAGTCCTGCTGACTACACTACCTGGTACAAGCCAGGATGCTGTTGGCCTTCTTGGCCACTTGGGCTTACTGCTGGCTCATGTTTAGCTGAGTATTGACCAACACCCCACAGATCCTTTTCCTCTTGCAGCTACTCTGCCCTAGGCCTGAGGAGTTGCCTGGGGTTGTTGTGATCAAAGTTCAGGACCCAATACTTGGTGTTGTTGAATGTCATCCTTTTGGCTTCAGCCCAGTGATCCAGCCTGACCAGATCCCTTGGTAGGGCCTTTCTACCCTCAGATAGATGAACACCTCCCCACTCCTTGGTAGCATCTGCAACTGTGAGTGCACTCAATTTCCTCATCCAAATAATCATTAAAGATATTAAACAGGACAGACTCCAGTACTGACCCCTGGGGAACACCACTCTTGACTGGATGTCAACTGGTTTTAACTCCAGTCACCATTATCCTCTGGACATGACCCTCCACCAGTTTATAACCCAGAAAAAGTGTACCTGTCCAAGCCATAGTTGTCACTTCTCCAGGAGAATACTGAGAGAGTTGGTATCAAAGGCTTTGCTGAAGTCTAGGCAGACTACATCAACAGCCTTTCCCTCATCCACCTCATTCCCGCATATTGACAAGCCTCCAATCCTCTGAGACCTCTCCAGTTGACCAGGAACCCTGCTAGTTTGTGGAACCAGCTTGGCAATCACCTCTGCCAGCTCTCTCAGCACCCTCAAGTGGATCTCATCTGGCTCCATGGACTTGTGACAGTCCAGATGGAGTAGTAGGTCTCTAATTGTTTCCTCCTGAATTGTTGGGGCTTTTTTTTTTTTTACTCTCCATCCCAGACTCCCAGGTCAGGAGGCTGAGTGCCCCAAGGATAACTGGTCTGAGTGTTGAAGACAGATACGAAGAAGGCACTGAGAACATCAGCTTTTTCCTTATCCTCAGTGGTTTTGTTCTCTGCCGCATCCAGTGAAGGACAGAGATTGTTCTTCACCCTCCTGTTAATAATAATGTATTTGTAAAAGCTTTTTTTTTTTTTGTCTCTTGCTAGAGTGGCCAGGTTGGGCCCACACTGGGCTTCTGCCTCTCTAATATTCTTACTGTGTATCTTAGCAACTTTGTACTTTCCCTGAGTTGCCTGTCCCTTTTTCTACTGGAGGTAATTTTTTTTCTCTGAGAATCTCAGCAAAAGTTCCCTGTTAAGCTATGCTGATTTTCTCTGCTGGCTCATCTTGTGGCATAGGGGAATAGCCTACTGCCTCACCTTTAGCACTTCCTGCTTGAGGAGTGTCCAGCCTTCCTGGACCTCTTTATCCTTTGGGACTGACTCCCAAGGGGTCCTCTCTACCAATGTCCTGAACAGCTCAAAATCTGCCCTCTGGAATTCCAGGGTAGGAGCTCTGCTGACCCCCTGCTCCTGAGTTCACCAAGAGTGAAGAAGTCTTATGATTTCAGGGTAGTTCTTCCCAAGACAACTCCCAGTCACCACATCTCCCACTAGTCTTTTGCTGTTTGTGAACTGCAGGTCTAGGAGAGCACCTCCCTGGGTAGGCTCCAGTAGTATCAGGCTATTATCTTCCACACACTTAAGTCTTCTATACTGCTTCCTCTGGGCTGTGTTGTATTTCCTGCATAATTCAGGGAAGTTGAAGTCCTTCACTAGAACAAGGGCTGGTGATTGCATGACTTCTGGCAGTTGTTTGTAGAATGCCTTATCTGTCTCTTTATCCTGGTTAGAATGTCTATACCAGACCCCCACTAAGATGTGAGCCCTCTTGGCCTTTCCCTAGATCCTTACCCAGAGGGTATTGATCTTATCATTCCTAGCCCCAAGCTTTACAGCATCAAAACACTCTCAAATACTGAGAACCACACCACTATCCCCTCCTTGCTTGCCTGTTCCTTCTGAAGAGCTTATAACCATCTGTTGCAGCATTCCAGTTATGTGCACGATCCCACCATGTTTCCGTAGTGGCAACTAAGTCATAGTTTGCGTGCCACACAATGGCTTTTAGCTCTTCCTGTTTGTTGCCCATGTTGTGTGCATTGGTGTAGATGCATTTCAGCTCAGCTGTTGGCTTCACTCCCAACCCGGACGTCATTCCCCCAGCCTCATCACTAGTGCGCCTAGTTTTAACCCCCTCCCCCTTCATACCTAGTGTGAAGTCCTCAACTTCTCCAATAAAGACTCACAAGACCAGCTGAAATTTCTGTTACCATCTTCTCACTGGATAGTCAGATTCTGAAACTCGCTTTTCCTCATTTACTGAATGGTGATTTTATCTTTTTATTTTCCTTAGGAAATCAAGGAGACAAGAAGAAAACATGAAACTCGCTTAGTTGAAGTTGACTCTGGGCGTCAAATAGAATATGAGTATAAACTGGCCCAAGCACTAAAGGAAATAAGAGAGCAGCATGATGCACAAGTGAAACTGTATAAAGAGGAGCTTGAACAGACTTACAGTAGCAAAGTGAGAAAGTTCTTTCATGCGGTTATCTGATTTACTTTATTTTGCTTTGTTTAATGGAGGGATATCCTAACACAATTACTTAGATTTCGGAGGATTTCCTTTTGGCATTTGGCTTAAAATCATCATGTTTTTCTCATTTTGGAGGCAGAGTTAAAATTTAAACAGCACTACAAAATAAGTATAGAAAGCACTGTGTAAATGAACTGTGGAGGAAGACTTGTACTGAGATTATTTTGAATTCAAGGAAAGTTGTGTTTATTATAAATGTAATAGAACAATCTTAGTAATAAGCATAGTGTTCCATATTTTGTGTAAAGCTTCTTCTGTAGCATGGCTTGCTGAGAAGACAGCACCCCAAGTCCTCAGACCCTGTATCAAAATTCTTATGTGGAGACCTTGACCACACCCAGTCATTTCTGCATCTATAGAAGGGTGAAACCTTTCTCAAACTGAGATCAGTTATACTTCATCATTTCCTTCCTCTACTACGATTCAGCATTTTTGTAAGGAAGGATCCTGATGTCTCAACTGAACCTGATTCTTGTGGCTTCTTATTGCAGTGAGCATTTTTCAGAACTTCAGTATTTTTAAAAACAAAGTTGGAGAACTGTGTAGTTGCTTATCTTCAGGGCTTCAGTCTGACTTGGGAAAACTAGAGAAAGGAAGTTATTTTAAATAAGATATAGCAAAAATCTTCCTATAATCTGAAAAATCTTTTCTAATTGAGGCTTCCTTTTGGATGTTATAAACAGTCTAAAAACAAAATTTGAACTTAATGTAATTTAATGTAAAACAAAATTAAAACGAACAAGCAGTGACTCATGGCACTGGTACTTGTAATCTTAAGGCACTTAACTAATGTGCTCATGTTGTGTGATAATCAGCATCAGATATTTACTTGCTTCTGTAGAAAATCAATGATTTCAGTTTAGTATCTGTTCAGACATACTTAAAAAAACAGTATTTAAATATATAAAGATGCATACTGTTTTTTTAGTAAAAACTGAACTCAGCTTTCCAGTCTTAGTAATGTCTTCAAGAGAAACTTTTAATGAGTTGAGTTGATCCTACAATAAATGTTTGGATGGTTGTGGTTTTTAGATAGAGCAATCCAACATGGTAATTGAACTACTGCATTTAACCCCTGAAGAGAGAGATGTTTTATTATATATTAGAGCTGGAGAGAGGAACTTTTGCATCTTCATATTATGTATGGTTTTATTTGGAGACAGGGTTTTTTCTTTTAATTAAAGATACTTTGAAATCCATGTCTTATCTATTGCAGCTTGAAAATATTAGACAGTCATCTGAGATGCACAGTTGTACAGCCAACACAGTAAGAGAAGAACTTCATGAAAGTCGCATGCGAATTGAAACACTGTCTTCCCATATCGCTGATATTCAGAAAGAGGTAACAAGCTTTTTATGTCTGTTAAGTCTTAATTGTTGATTTTTAATGTAAAAGACTTCATTCTTTTCCTTACTTTGTAAGTATGTTCATCTTTGTGTTTTGAATTTGTTTTCTGTTTTGTTGTTCTGTATGAACTTATTTTCGTAATGTCTTCTTTAGACAAGGTTGATCTTCTACAGATCAGCAGAGGATTTGAAAGGTGTAGGCTGCCATGAGGCCTCACATCAGCTGCCTCTGCTCTGGACTAGACAAATCAGTTGACCTCAGCTAATCCTCACACACCTTGCCCTCCAGACCCTTCACAGTCTTTGTTGCCCTCTTTTGGACACTCCTAACAGCTTTATGTTCTTCTTATATTGTGGTGCCCAAATCTGCATGCAGTGCTGGAGGTGAGCAGAGAGGACAGCTTCTCTCCTCTCCTGGTGGCAGCACTGAGCCTGCTGCACCGCAGGGCAGGGCTGGCCCTTTGGGCTTCGGGGCACACTGCTGGCTCTTGTTCAACTTGCCATTAGTCAGAACACCCTGATCCCTTTCTGTGGGGCTGCTGTCTAGCACTCATCCCCCAGTCCATATGTATAGTGAGGGTTATCCCTTCCCTAGTGCAGGATTCACAGAATTTGCAGCATTTGCTCTTGTTAAACTTTGTGCATCTGGTGACTGCCTGGCTCTCTAATTTGTCTAGATCTCTGCAACACTTCTCCACCCTTTATGAAGTCAAGAGTTCATTTCAATTTAGTACCAGCAAATGTAGAGAAAAATTTTTTTATAGTACTAGTAAGCATCTGATCCTCTTACATGAGGTCTTGTGAGAACTGTGCAAAAACCTTTCTCTGTTTTCTCGATAAGACAGTATTAAGCACAGGCTGTATGTTCTTGACATTCTAAACAATTTAGTTCTTTTTTTCAATATCTGAATGTTTTAGTGCAGTATTCAGCAAAGCAAGATTCCAAGCCAGAGCTAAAATAACAGTCTGCTTGATATCTTCTTCCATATTTGACCCACTTATTATCTAGATCTATTTTAAAAATGTTGAAATTGAATGATCGTGCCAGGCTTGGGATGATATTAGAGGAAGAAATGCATCAAGTAGCTACACTTGAGATTTGTAGAGCTGAAGCTAAATGAATGTAGTGTCAGGTCACAGTATATAGACCATGCTTATAGAAGTGTGACACAACCTAAGACAAGTCATGTAGTCAGTGCTAGTTTACTTGACCAAAATAGTCATGTGTGCTGGAAAATCTGGAGTGAAAAGCTAGACAGATATTAATACTTGTTAGTGAAGCTCATTTCAGAACCTTACTTATCAGTTGAATACAACAAAGACTTTGTATTTTGTTCCAATAAATAAATAGTAATTTTTAGTTTTGATCCTTCCAATTAGTGATGAATTTTGAATTGTATTGCTACTGTATACAGCAGACTTGTAGAATTTCAAAGTTCAGTATACTTCAGGTGAAGAATATTCATGCACTTTCCAAACAACTTTGGGTATGACTCTCCCCGGTTTTCCTGTTATATAGTAAAATTATTTTCTAAAATAGGTCAGGTGGTGTAATGAGTGTGCATGAGGTTGCACAAGAATTGGGTTAAGGCATCTGCCTTTACATTGTGATTGTCATTGTTCTGATGGCTCAGTCAATGCATTGTTTTTTTCCTTCCAACTTTTGACAATATTGGTGACATATTGCTAACTTAAAGTGGCTACTACATTTGGAAAACTTCTAAATTTGCAGAGGTATGTGCTGTGAATTTCAGCAAATTCTGTGGTCTTCTGTGTAACACTAAGTCATATCTGAGTCTTAAGAGTAGCATCTAGTTAGGCTAGTCCTCTGCATGAGCCTGGTAGGCTGCCTGTTTTGCTGTTGCTGTACAATGGTGACTTTCTGAGTAGTGTGCCTTCACAGCAAATTTGGTGGTTTAACCAGACAGCGTGATTCTAAAGCACTGGGTTTTTTTGTCTTTCAATTAAAATATTTCTGAGAACATCAGGCTGAAAAAATGCACTCAGGGAAAGTAGATCTTAAAGGTGTCGTGATTTAGTGATTCTTTGATAAGTATTCCCTTCTGTGTACACAACATTAAGATCATAGAATTATAGAATCCTTAGAGTTGGAAGGGGACCTCTGAAGGCCATCTAGTCCAATTCTGCTGCCATGAACAGGGACATCACAGCTAGAATAGATTGCCCAAGACCTGTTTGAGCCTCACCTTGAAAGTCCAGGGATGGGGTATCAACCACATCACTAGGCAGCCTGTGCCAGTGCCTTGCAAATTAGCTTTCCCTGTGGACCAATTGCCACTGCAATTTCAGCAGACCTTGAAAATGCCAGCAGGTAGGCATTCACTATTCCTTTAAATAAACTTTTCCAAGAATTTGGAATTGGCAGCAGTAAACTGAGGCAAGGAACATACATCTGAGAGCTGAAAAACAATTATGTACCACAGGCTTTTAAGTTCACCAAGCTCATTTTCTTTGTGTCCTACCCAGTGTTATCTTTAAACACACTGATTTTTTTAGTTCCATTCTTCTTCAGCTGTGGTAACACTTAATTCATTTTTCTGAAACATGAAAATGCTTGCCTTTAAAGTATGTTGCAAATTTCATTGGGACTTAAGGTGTTAAAGAAAATGTGGAGAGCAAGATGATGAATGTGGATGGGTTTGAGTTTGGAGAGAGAAAGAGGATACTTAGCCTGGTATTTTGAACTTCAGATAGTGAGCTATCCTTTAGACCACTGTTTTTCAATGCTTTCTAGTCTAGAGCATGGCAAGATAGAGTGCATGAGCTTGAGGACGCCTTGTCCAAGGAGCGGGAAAACTGTCGCAAAATACTGGCTGAGAATGAGAGAGAAGTGGCAGAGATGAGAAATCAAATGCAGCAGCAGTTCAGTGACTACGAACAACTTCTGGATGTTAAACTGGCACTTGATATGGAAATCAATGCATACCGAAAATTGCTGGAGAGTGAAGAGGAGAGGTATGAAAGAACATAGCAATGTGGTTACTCTGTGTGCTTGCTTGTCTAACTCTGTTAAAAGACAGTTCTTACTGGGTGTGCATTCGTTAAGTCCTTTACTACTGTTAACAAAATGCTGTTCTTTGCATCATTTTGTCTGATACATATTTACCATATTTACCATATTCTTATGTAATGTTTTTTGTTTACATTTTTCCTCTACCTTTAGCTATGTAATTCAGTGGGAACAGGAGAAGATATGAAGAAAGTTTTTAAATGAGAGTAGAATAACTTGTTTTGTTTCCTTTTGCTTCCTGATGGATTATTGGAAGAAGCTGCCCAGGGAAGTTGTGAATTCTCCTTCACTGGAGATTTCATGACCTGTCTGGATGCCTACCTGTGCAGCCTGCTGCAAGGGGGCCTGCTTTGCACAGGGCTAGACTCAGTGATCTCCAGAGGTCCTTCCAACCCCTACAGTTCTGTGATTCTGATTTTCTTCAATTTAGGCTCAGACTTTCTCCAGGCCCTTCTTCTCGGGTGACAGTTTCACGAGCTTCATCAAGCCGTAGTGTACGTACCACCAGAGGAAAGAGGAAGAGAATTGATGTGGAAGAATCTGAAGCCAGCAGTAGTGTCAGCATCTCCCATTCAGCTTCTGCCACTGGAAATATCTCTATTGAGGAGATAGATGTTGATGGAAAATTCATCCGCTTGAAGAATACCTCTGAACAGGTTTGAAAGTGCTCATATCACATGTCTTTACAGAGGGCTGATTAGGTAGACAGCTTTCTCAGCACCATATCACATCTCAGGCTTAATGTTGACTCTGGAACTAGCGCTGTATAAAGGAAGGCCATTAGAAATTAGTGTGTCACAGAATGTTCCACCAGTATTCTGGGTTGGTAACAACTTCCTGATTGTTTTTAACGGTTTTCAAGGTGCCAAACTCTTTAGAGTTCTGCTTTGCCAGATGATCTGGCTTTACAGTTATTATCATTGACAGCCTAAAGTCCATTTGCACTATTTCTTATCTTCAGAAGTTTCTCTGTGCCTTAAGAAGGTCCAAAAGAAATAGCACCTATGCAGAATGAAGATCTAAATGTCTCTGAACGTCTAACTGACTAATTAGAGATACTCTCTAATACTTGTGTATGTCTTATTTAAGTTACAGTTTTCCTTCTTTCCTTGGTGGCATCTGCAGTTTTTGGAAGGAGCAATACGTTCTCATGCCAAAACCTCTCCAGATTAGTTTTCTGTGGATAGGCTGCAGTTTGCATCAGTGGGGAAGTGGAACCATATTTAAAGGCATTTCACTTGAAAATAAATAAATAAAATAATGTTTTGACTATTGTGCTTTTGTTTGAAGGATATTAGCTGTTAGATTAAATCACTCCCTCCCAAGATATGACTTTTAACTTCTGTTTAAGGGGAAAAAAAATCTTGTGTTATGTTTAAATGTTTGTAAAGACAACTTTAACTTTCCCTAGTGTGTTAAGACCTCCCACTTTTCCCTAACCATTTTTTTCAGCAAGTTCCCTCTGCACTGTACCATATGGGATTCCCTTTTATTATGGGTGACCTCTAGCTACACATTTGTTTATCCATAGCTGAACCATCAGCTTTAAGTAGCCACATACGATTCATAGTTATTGCGCTTAGCCAGGCATATAAATGTGCTTTGAGCAACAGTCTGTAGTCAGTGTTCTAAATAGTATGTGAGAGTGATCAGGAGTGCTGGACAGAGTGTTGTAAGGTTTAATACTTGTGCATTTATGTAGACTAAGATATAAAAAAAAAAAAAAACCTGAAGCAAACTAATAAACACTAATTTAAAAAAAGGTGATATCAAAATGGAAAAGTGGAATGTATTGAAATTTAACCTGGAATAAGAAAAGATCAGCTTGACTAAAACTGTAGCTATTTATGTGCTGAAGGGAAGTAAAAAATTTTATATGCATCATGTCCATGTGTGTAAAATACCTTACATGTTTAACACAATAACTGCTGACAAAAACTTATTATCTTTCTTATTAGGATCAACCTATGGGAGGCTGGGAGATGATCAGAAAAATAGGAGACACTTCTGCTAGTTACAGATATACCTCAAGATATGTACTGAAGGCAGGACAGACTGTTACAGTAAGTAGTCAAGCTTCAACTGTTCAGTTCAAACTGGATTTAGATGAGTTTGTGTATCATAGAATCATAGAATCACATGATTGGAAATGACCTATAAGATCATCTAGTCCAACCATCTTCACACTACCACTGCTACCACAAGCTACTAAACCAGATCTTGCAGCTCCTCATCCAGATGGCTCTTGAACACTGCCAGGGATGGCGACTCCACACCTCCCTGGGCAGCCATTCCAGTGCCTGACCACTCTCTGAGAGAAAAAGTTCTTCCTTAAGTCTAACCTCTTCTGGTACAACTTGCGGCCATTTCCCCGGGTCCTGTTCATTGCCTGGGAGAAGAGGCCAAACCCCTCTTCACCACAACCTCCCTTCAGGAAGTTGTAGAGTGCAGTGAGGTGTATGTCAGTAAGTCAGTAATATTTTGGTTTTGTCCTTCCCATACAGATGGGAAGTTCAGGAAAAAAAAATCACTTATATTTACTATTTAACATTCGTTGTATCATCTGTTGGGAAGGGTAATTTTTCGTGAACAGAGCCACATTTCTTAAACTTATTTTCTATATGCAACAATAATTTTGACTGTAAGTAGGTGCATTTGCATATTCAAGTGTCTGTTCATGTTAAACTAAGGATATTTTAATGTTAAAAAAAATCTTTTAAAGTAGCTGGAGTGAGACTTTATTTTTTCTTAACTGGAAGAGATTCAGTGGTGTTGCCTAAAATGGAAGTGAATTATGTAAGATTAGCAAGTAACATTCATTTGTGACTTTTAACAGATTTGGGCTGCAAATGCTGGAGTAACTGCTAGCCCTCCCACTGACCTCATCTGGAAGAACCAGAATTCCTGGGGCACTGGTGAAGATGTGAAAGTTGTGTTGAAAAATTCTCAGGGGGAGGTAAAGTAACTGTGTCAAACTTGCATTTGACTATATTGCCACTCCAGCATCTAGCCTTGTAGAGGTAATGGTAGAACCACTGTTAATTCTTTGCACTTCAGTGCATGTGAGACTGTAGTAAAATTTTCTCCTGCTGCTTTTAGCCAAGCATACGATGCACTTTTCTTGAACTTAATAGCAGTTTAGGGGTGCAGTGTTGAGAAAGCTTACGAATTTTATATACTCCCTTGTTTGCTAATAGAATGATTTCTTCTGACATTGCCTTGATGGGGAGTGCTTCAATTTTGAAGTTAAAAGATATTAGTGAACTTTTCAGTGCTCTGCTTTAATTTTGTTCCCATGAAAACTGTGTTAATGGGGAATTAGAAAAAAAGTGTTAATTTTAAGTAGATCAGTGACTATGACATGTAGCAATTGAAGTAAAATACTAAAATTTCTTGTAACAGTTATGGGGAAAAAAGCTTGATGTGCTTTTTTAGGAAGTTTTTTAATCGTTAAGGGATTTAAAACTGAAGTGTTAGAAATGCTGTTTATATACTTTCCATGTGCTGCAGTGCATAGACAAACTGTACAGTTAGCTGTCTGAAAAAGTGGCATTTCCCTTTCTCAAAATACAAGTAGATAATCATCAGCTCTTTGGAAGAGTCAATTATTAAAAATGTAACTCCTTTGCAGGAAGTTGCTCAGAGAAGTACTGTCTTTAAAACAACTGTAAATGAAGGGGAAGAGGAGGAGGAGGAAGGTGAAGAAATTCTTGAAGGAGATGTTATCCACCAACAGGTATTCTGTTAAGACTTGTCAAGACTATCGTCTTAACAAATTTGCTTAAATTGAAAAGGAAAAGACATATATAAGCAGTGATTTTTTTAATACAAGTGTCATAACTGTTTGAGCATGAGTGTTCTTTTGTTTTTGTTTTGTTAAATCAGTAGTTGAATTAAAACATAACTGTGTTTAGAATTATTAAAATTAGAAAGAGTTCTTCATGTATTCCCATGATGGTAGACTATTCAAAAATTTTTTGAAACTTAAAATCTTGAAATTTTAGACTTTTTAAACTTTCTGATGTAGTTGGACTGAGGGAAATGTATGGTGTTTGCCTTCAGTCAGTTCACATAAAATTGTAGTTGCTTACTTAGGAACTTAAATCTTTCATTTCTCTAGGACAGAAAATGTCAGGCATGATGAAAAAATGCAGCTCTAAAGGCAGAGGTGTGAACTTGCAGTGACAGTATAAAATGTTTTGAAACAGAGAATACTCAGATACAGTGTACTGAGTAGTTTGCATTCTGAGTTCTGTATTACTGCTTTAACCAAGTAGCTTTTCTAAAAAGACAGTAATTATAATGGACAAGTTCCTCTAAGGCCAAGGTCATATAATTATAGATTCCTTAGTGTTGGAAGGGACCTCTGATTGCCATCTAGTCCAGCTCCGCTGCAATGAACACGGATACCACAACCAGTTCAGGTTGACCAGGGCCTGATTCAACCTCACCTTAAAAGTCTTCAGGAATGGGGCATCAACCACACTACTAGGCAACCTTTTCCAGTGCCTCACTGCTGTAAAAGATTTTTTCCTAACATCTAACCAAATTCTACCCTCTTTAACCATTTCCATTTTTCTGCCACCGCAGACCCTGCTGAAGAGTCCGTTATCTTTCCTGTCTCCCCTTTAGATACTGAAATGCTGCTCTCAGGTCTCCCTTCTCTTTTCCAGGCTGACCAGCCTTCTCTTTTCCAAGCTGAACAGCCCCAGCTCTCAGCCTTTCATCATAGGAGAGGTGTTCCATCCCTTGGATCATTTTTGTGGCCCTCCTCTGGGTGTGCTTCAACAGGTCTGTGCCTCTCCTGTACTGAGGATTCCACATCTGGAAGCAGTACTCCAAGTGTGGCCTCACCAGCACAGAGCAGAGGGGCAGGATCACCTCCCTTGGCCCCTGGTCACGCATCTTATAGATATTTTGCTTCTTCAGCTAAAACTTACTTTTCAGTTAGTATGGGTATTAATGTCGGTCAGGAGAGTGAACATAGAACAGTAACTAAAGCTTTGTATGTAAATCTGCAGGAAAAAATGAAGAGAGCTGACTGCTTGAGAAATCATGTTTTTTGCCAGGCATGTTCTTGGCCTGTAACTGAGTTGTATCTTAGTGGCACTGAATATAGGTGCAAGCTTTTACTACGGTTTTTCAGTATTGAAGTGCTTCCTGTGGCACCTGTGGTTTCTGGGGTGTGCTCTTCAGCTAAAGCATTGTTAGCTCTTCAGCAAAAGAAATATTAGGGTGGATTTTTTTAAATAAAAACTTCTGAGGTATTTGTATATGCTCACTACTGTATTCACCAGCTGTGTAATCTCGATGCTTTTAGCCATAAAGTCCAATATGACCTTTGTTATTTCTGATTGTCATGACTTGACTTCAAGCTACCCTGGGTACGTATGGAAGTTGTAAGGTGTGAGATCTCCTTGGGGCACAGTAAGGTGAAATGACAACATTGGCTAACGAGTTTATTCAAACAAGAGTAGTTTCAAATTTCCTAGGGAATGTGATTATTGGTGCTACATAAGAAATGCAGTTGTAGTGGTAAGCTATGATGTATTGACTTGCATCTGTTCTAATATAACTTGAAAAGAGGGAGAAAGAGACAAAAATAAAGATACAAAGAGACGGTTCTCACCCTTGGATCCAGCAGTGATTGTTCCTGCTGTGGAGAATGTGCACACCTGAAAGGGCAGTCCTTTGCCTTCTTTGTCTGTGTGGCCCTTAAGGAGAAGTACTTCCGAATGTTTCAGAAATGAGTCTGGGGTCTCAGATGGTTGCCAGGCCTCCTCTAATCTTGTGATTGAGGTATGGCTCTACCCCTGCACAAGCACAGTTCAAGACTTAGTGTACTCTGGAAATGGGCTGGGTGGACCTTAGTGGCTGTCTTTCTGCCTCTGCTGAAGTGAGTACAGGTGTAGTTTGCTACATCTCTTCCTTCCCCACTAAGTCTGCCTGTTGCAATTCAGCAGGTCTGTGTAATCTCACAAGATAAGGAAATCAGTCTGGAGGAATACCTGCCTTGCAAGGCTCCTTCCTCCAACTGTTCCTCATATCATTACTGTGATGGTCTCCTTTTACTCTTCTACCAAGTATTTGCTTCTCACTTGCTTCTCAGTCTCTTACAGTGGTGCCTCACATAACAGTTTACCTAGCATTGCTTTACTTCATGGGGTAAGACAATGTATTACAGCTTGCTTAGACCATACCAGGCTAGTAATTGTATACATTGATAATATGTATGTATTATATTAATAATATATATAATTATACTGTTTTTGATTTCTGAATCTCTTGCTGTTGGATTTTTTCCAATCATGACTTTTCTGTTTGTAACAGGGGAGCCCAAGGAAATCTGGCAGAAGCTGTGCGATCATGTAAACTCTTTCTAGTCATCCAGGTTCTTCAAATAATGGTGATCATTGTCTACAGAATAGCCTTCTCAGAAGCACAATGTATTTTTGTAGTTTCTTTCTGTGAGTTCTTAAGCTGAAAGTCTAATGGCCTTAATTTCCTGACATTGAAAATGAAGTTTTGTAAAAGAAACTGTATCTGTAACTTGCTGTTAGGACAGAAACTGGTGATTCTGAACTCTGTGTACTGTTTGAAAATGACATTCCCTACCCCTAGTTTTATATGCCAGTCTTTTTTTAAATAGAAACTTCAGAAGTTTCTGCATTCCAGGGATTGATTTTTCTCGGACAACACCACTCCAGCCATCTACTGTTGACTTCTTTATATTTAGGTGCTGTTTGGGAAGGGAAAGGCATTTTCAATACTATGAACTCTTTTTGTACTGAAGACATTTTCGTATTACAGCGCAATCAAAGATAAACAACTTTCTTATAGAAAATAGACTTTTTTTTAAAAAAAAGAAGGGGATAAACCATAAAATCATGTAAGCACTCAACTCATGAAGGATGCAGTAAAAAAAAAACTTTCTATTGCTACTTTGCTTAGGTTTCTTATTCTGAAAAGGGGATTCATGTTAAATGTGTTAGCTGTATTGTTAAGATAGTGTAACAGCTTAAATTTGCTTACGTGTTTTTTTTGTAACAAAGTCGATTTTAATATTGATTGCTTTGCTTGTTTACAGTTTTTAGGAACAAATCCAAGTCTTTTAGAAATCTAGTCTATGTTTCTATGGAAAACAACTGTGATTCTGTCAGCGTGTCAAGTTTCAATTCTTTTTGCATTTACCTGCTGTTTAAAAGCTTTGAATAAAGAGTATCTCTGTATAGACACTTCAGATTAAGGTTTTGAAATTTGTTTTGTGATAAAATGGAGATAAGTTGAATGATTGCTTGATACTTAGAACTGATAGGATTTGAACTTGGAAAAACCTTCATGTAAGTAGAACAGTGGCACTTGATTTGTAAAGATTTCTCTTAAAATAATGAGGAACAAATTGACATTTCAAAAATGAATTCTTTGGACCTTTATTCAAAGTGTACATAACTGTTTCTGTAGTTATCTTTGTCTTGATCTAAAGGTTTTTTTAATCATGGGAATTCATTGCGCTCTTTTGCTATCAGTTTCTTGAAAAACAGAATTTTTTAGGGTGTTTCATGTTAAATCAGTTTCTATCCTGATGAACTACATCATAACATTCTGAATTTTTGCTAGCAGAAGTTAGAGGTGGCCAAGGCTTATGTGGATGGACAGAGATTGGTGGGACTCCTCCTTTTGGTAGTAACATTGGCTTAAACAACTGCATTAGACCGTGAAGTAAAACTTGATTTCATTTCCTATTTAAATGTGAGCATTTGTATTTATGTAGTATTTTCATATAATTTCAATATTACTTCATATCCTGTAATATTCTCATATCTAATTGTTTTTCCTAAGAATAATGTTTTTCTGTTATAGCCTGAGATACTGGTGTTATAGGCATTATCCATATAAACGAACACATTGTAGTAAACTGTTTGTTCCATTTCTTATTTGTTTTCAAAACTAATAACACAGACTAGCAATACAATTCTGTTAGATAGGACTGTTACTCTTCCTCACCATTGATAAGAGATTATTTTGCATGCATCAGTGTTCTTGCCTCTAGCTTTTGAAGACCCTTTCTTGTCACTGCAGAATGATGAACAGTGCCTTAACCTTTATGGGAGCATGTACCTAGGAGCAGCTGCTTGAGTCTTGTAAATATTCAGGTAAGTCAGCACTCTTGCGATAGATGGCAGTGGACAAGTGCTGATTTTTAGAAAGGTGCTTTGGAGTACTTGCAGTACTAGCCTAAAGGGGTGGGGGGTAAGCCTTCTGGATGTTGCTGACATTTAGTGTGGAAACATCCTGCCACCAGATGGAGATCTTGCTATTGAACTATATTCTCAAAGCAAAACAAAAGCCACGAATACCTTTCCTACATTTCATGTGTGTCCCATAATAACTTCAGAAAGTTTCTCCTGCTAGACTGAACAAAGTCCTCGCACCGACCTCAAGCTTGAAACATATGATTTTGTCAATATTGCCTTTTTCCTACCTCTTAACTGTTGTAGTTACTGCTGTTATTTACCATTTTGGGTAAAAGAAGGCAGGTGGGTGGAATTCTTTGAAGGTATCAGACCACTGGAAAATAAGCTTGTTAGTTTTTAATGTAATGCTTTGCAAAATGTGTTTTCATTTTTCTGAAGGTCATTAGTTAGCTATTGAGCTGGAGAAGAATGAAACAGTGTCCTAGTTAGCTCGGTAGACCGGCTCATATTTCTACTTCTAGAGTAACATGTAAAGATTGCTTCTAGGTACACTTCTAGAATTGGCAACACAGATGATCAAGATGTGATACTAATCTGTTTTGTACCTGGCAGGTGAAAGCTGCTTAGTGACTTGCTGCATGCAATAGAAAAAAAACAACACAACACAGTAGTGCTAGAAATACATCTGCTAACATATATTCTTCCTGTGAAAACCAGAATAAAAAGTTGATAAGCAAGTCTTTTGCCTTCTGTAGCACTGCTACTATATGATGAGTGTACGTGAAGCAAGGTGTATTCCCATCAGCTGTTCCTAGCTCAGAAGAAGATTGAGTTTAGGTCTGGTCATAGTAAAAGCAACTACCATTTAGGTCATGGTTGGTTTGTAGTGGACAAGCTCACAAATAAATGCTGGTGTAAGCAGTCCTAGCTGCAGGCTACAAATTGCTATATGTTTCATCAACATCTGTCCCTTCTGTATGTGATAGAATGTGAGGAAGTGATATCAAGGTGCTCCAGGGAGGTTTAGAATGGATGTGGAGAACTTGTTTGTGGAGAGAATGGTCAAGTCTTGGAACAAGCTGCCCAAGCCAGCAGTGGAGTCCCCTTCCTGGAGGTGTGTAAGGGACATATGGACATATTGCTGAGACAAGTGGTGTTAGTGATGGGGTTTGTTAGGCCATACTCATGTTTGAACTTGATGATCTTGAAGGTCTTTTCCAGACCTAGGTAGTCCTTAACCTACCTAGGTTTTCCTTAACCTAGGTAGTCCAGCAGTGTATGCCAATAAAATATTTTCCCAAGTAGACATTAAAACATGTAAATTAGTAGCTGTTCATGACTGCATATTCTATTCATTAGAAGCTGAGGATTCATTTGTTGACTTCTGTAGAAGCAGTTTTAATGCTGTTCTTAAAATCTCACAAGGAAACTTAATTGTCTTAGCCAACATTTTTGTACTGATCTAAGAGTTTCTGGAGTTAAAAAGATGTTTTATGGGAAATTCCTAGTCTAGAAAGTGGTGCCTTTTTATATCCACTATAAGCACTATCTGTCCTTCTGCTGCTTTTAAAGAAAAAGCAATATGCTAATTGACTATGAAGTACTTTTTTCCAGGCAGGGAAGGTAAGTAGTTGACGGGAATAAAAACTTTTAAAGCTCTTGATATAAAATGCTATAGAGCATTTTATAAAAGAAACAGAGGCTATATGGGATGAAGGAGAATATTTATTTAGACTTTCTTGGAGCACAGCAGTTAATATTAAGGAAACAGTGGGGCACTTAATTATTTATAATTCTCAGCTAGATACAGGAACAGAGCAAAAGTAGCTACTTTTTATCTCTGTTTTTGCTTAGTGTGCATTTAGCAGCCTCTCTAGTTTTCTTGTAATGAGTTTGTATAGATAACAGAACTTGTTTTCAGTGTGCTTAATTCTGAAGGAAGAAAACTTAGGTGTGATAGCATTGGTAAAGGTATGTTGTATTTTATACTGATTGTATGGTTGGTTGCTTTTCATCTAGCTGCCAAAAAAAACATTTGGGTGCAAAGTATTGTAGCTAATTTGGCTGTTCTGTTTTATGAACAGAAAAGACTATTGGTGAACAAGCCTGACTTAATTTAAGTCCAGGAATGCAGTTACAGCATTGGTTTTCTGTGCAACTGTAGCATTTCTTTTTTTTTTTTTTCCCCCTGAGGATGGTGTTTTTGCTTTTCAGAGTGGAATGCTGCTGATAGCATATCAGCATTATCCTTAAGTTTTATTGTGAAAGTATTTTGTATGCTCAGGATACAGCTGAGAGAAAAGTTACCAGTTCTATAATCTTTTAGCGTCAAAGGAAGGAAGGTATTTCTGTATCGTTGCCACAGTGAGGTGTAAGAGACTCAGTGAAAGCTGGGTAAAAGCTAAAAACAGGTACTAAAAGCAGGTACTAACAGACTTGGCAGCTGTTGACATGTTAGCTTGGGTTTAAAAAAGCTTTCTTGTTGCTTCATGGGATAAACAAAAAAAGTATGGAATAACAGCAGTGAGTTGGTACGTAATATAGTGTTACCGTTGCTGTGCTTTGTAGTGCTTATCCATATTTCAGACTTAGATTTACAGACTTGCTAGGTGTTCATAAAGGTAGAGGCCCTCTGTGCACTTTGTATTGTCAGTCAGCTTCAGAGGTACTTTGGATGCTCCCAAACAGTATTAGGCAATAAATAGGTATTTTCCTGCTTGCACAGAAAATCCTTTTTTAATGAAGCAGATGTGTTTTGAATGGAACTTTGTCTCATCAACAGATGAAAAGTGTAATTAGTAGGAGGTTTTAATCTTACCTTTGTTCTGTAGAGTAGAGCTTTCTTTCAGTGCACAGCTGGTCCTTCTTGTAGCTTTTCCTATTTTTTTTTTCTGACAGTAGGTCCCTGGTATCTCTGCATCAAAGACTGTCTGTGGGTATTGGCCCTAATGCCCATTATGTGCTAAATTGTCCAATTGCCCTACATGAGTTCCTTCTGGAAAACAGTGCAGAGCTGTTTTAAATAAAATGTAAATGGCAGTTTGAAATCTCAGTCTGGCGGATCCACAGAGCCAAGTTGAAAACAAAACAAACAAACAAAAAAAAAAAACCTGAAGACTCATTAATCCTACTTATGCTGTGATGTCCATGCAAAAGGCTGTGGTATTTCTAAAACTTCATTACAAGAGTGCAATAGTCATACATATAAATTTCTGCTACCCAGTGCATATATTCTCCTCTCCTTTTGCCTACAGTGATGTATACTGCTGCTTTCACTGCTTCACTCTCCTCAGCATGAGTGAGAGGTTACATAGCTGCCTGCTGTTGAACCTCTTCCCTTTTCAGCATCATAATTTTGTCACACACTACTTCTTTAGTCTCACCTTAATTTTGTCTTTTTGTTGTTTCAGTGATAAATCAGGCTTACAGGGAAAAGTTTGCATGGAAGGAAAACCTAACTTTTTGCACTGTACTCATACTGAATTGTAGTGGACTCTGAAATTAATCGTATATATGGGGATAGTGGTCTATCATCAGCAGGCAGGGTGTGAAAGGAAGGAATAGATCAATGTTGTGTGAATCATTACAATCTTAATTGTTTTGTTGGTTTTTGATGACTTAAGTTGCTGGGTTTTATCCCTTTTGGCTCAAAATAC